AATTGGTTTATACAGAAGCCGTTTTGCAGCCCTTGCTGCCCTCATCTCCCGTGTCAGACCAAGAAGCCAGGAGCTGAGCACGTAAGGAGAAATCAGAGTCTCTGCAGCCTCTTGTGCCATGGGCCTTTGAGGTGATAAACATGAACACCCACAGCTGCATGAGCACCATCGGGCACCCGTCCTGCCTGGCCGATGTCTGCCAGCCCTGGAAACTGCAGCAGGGCAGTGAGATGGAAATTATCTGTTATAATGTCTGTTACAGAACCACAGAGAATCACAGAATGGTAGGGTTTGGAAGGGACCTTTGGAGACCGTCTAGTCCAATCCCCCTGCCAAAGCAGGTTCACCTGGAGCAGGCTAGGCAGGAACACATCCAGGTGGGTTTTGAATATCTCCAGAGAAGGAGACTCCACAGCCTCTCTGGGCAGCTTGTTCCAGTGCTCTGTCACTCTCAAAGTAAAGAAGTTTTTCCTTATGTTCAGATGGAGTTTCCTGTGTTCCAGTTTGTGCCCATTGTTCCTTGTCCTGTCACCAGCTGAAAAGAGTCTGGCCTCACCCTCTTGACACCTGTACTTCAGATATTTATAAGCATTGATGAGGTCCCCTCTCAGTCTTCTCTTCTGCAGCCTAAACAGACCCAGGTCTCTCAGCCTTTCCTCATGAGAGAGATGCTCCATTTCCTTGATCATCTTCGCGGCCCTCCACTGGACTTTCTGTAGTAGTTCCCTGTCCTTCTTGAACTGAGGGACCCAGAACGGAACACAGTACTCCAGATGTGGCTTCACCAGTGCACAGTAGAGCATGACCTCCCTCAACCTGCTGGCCACACACTTTTTAATGCACCCAAGAATACCATTGGCCTTCTTGCTGGCTCATGGTCAACTTGTTGTCTAGCAGGACTCCCAGCAGGTCCCTCTCTGCAGAGCTGCTTTCCAGCAGCTTTTCCTGACAGAGCTGGTGCTGCAGGGACATGGCTACGAGGTTTTGAGAGTGGAGTGGTCTTGAGCCGGCGCAGGCCGCTCTTCCTGAAGCGGCAGCCTGACACAGGAAAAGAAAGCAAGCAAAATTCTTCAGTTTGAACATGTTTGGTAAGTCAGAGGGCCCATTTGCTGTAGGTGCAATTTACTTCCATTTTGCGTGCTACAGTCTGGGAAGGTGTTTGTTCGGCCAGTTGAGGTAGGCTTCTCTCGGACACTGCTGCCAGTCCAACACATTAGCATATACACTCTAACGGCTAGCCAGTAATTAATCTTGTGAAAGCAAAACAAAACAACAAGGAAAATGTTGGCCCTTTTAAAATCTTCAGAACATTTAATGAATATTACTGCATGAACCTAAACAACATGTACTGAAAGACAAGTCCCTGTAGGCGCTTTGCACAACAGGCACCTAACTTATATTGCAGAAGTATCTCCAGCTACATCCAGGACTTCTCTGTGCTCAGGTCACTGCTGTGATAGTCCAGTTATTGAACCTGCTGTATTAAGAAGATCGCTCCAGGGTTCTTCTGGAGGCACAAGCATGCAGGGAGGGTCTGCTTCCAGCTCTCATCTAGGATGGGGCTTGGTCCAGCTCCCAATTAAGTTAAGGAAAGTGAATTAATTAAACCTCTGAGATTCCTGTTTTGCCCAGGGTTGTCTTACAAATGAGCCTGACTCTCTGACCCCTCCACAGAAAAGGCAGATTCAGGATGCTGAACAACAGTGATGTGTGCAGTAGAAAAGGTTTCGGGTTCATCTTTATAGTAAATTCATTCTTCACCTAGATATGATGTCATATTTTATTGAAGTATCCTGAATTCTCAATGATAAAGCTAAGAACCAGAGAAAAATCTTGGAGTCCACTGATGATATAGGGAAAAATAAACTTCTGTATGTGTCATTTCATCTATTCCCTTCGAAAAGACATTCTAGAAAGAATGAATTATCTCCAAAGTATATGGAATTATTTAATAGTGTAAGCATCACCTTTTTTTTTTTTTTTTTTTTTTGTTTCAATTACACTGCTTCTTTAGTCCAATTATCTCATATTTTGGTGCAAAAATAATTTGTGAACAAGGCCTGTTATCCCTGTACAGTGACTGAAATGAGGCTATTATTGCTGTTGATTCTTACCATAGGATGTGGACCATAGCAAGAGAGACAAAAGGGTTTGAAGAAGCAGGTCCTTTGAAACAGCCTGGGAGCTTCACCAAGGAATATGGATATTTTGGGTTTGCAGGGGCTACGCTTCAGCATTCCCTCATTTACTTACATAAGTCAGGTCTGCAACGGTGTGTGGCTCTTGGAGCATGTAAATGAAAGTCCTAAGCTGGAGCGTGTCATCTCGCAGACAGCAAGGGCCAACCTGGCAGAGCAGCTGGGTATCTGAATGTTGATGTGTGTAACGTGGCAAGCCAGCAGACTGGGGGAGGATACAGCTCGGTTGTTCCAGCGCATCTCAAGCTGGTGGTGGATCAGGGAGATGGTTGTCATCTTGTGCCAGGAAACGCCGGAGCCAGAGCCCTTCTCCTCAGCTCCTGGCAGAGACAAAGGTGCAAAAATGCTCAGGCTCCTCTCTGTAGCTCTCCAGCCAATTATGAATAATTCACATCAGAGCAGGAGGGCAACAGCATTTTGTTTGCAAGTACTGAAGTTTCAGAAAATCCAGAGTGGAAAAAAAATTAGGAGGGCAACAGCATTTTGTTTGCAAGTACAAAATCCAGAGTGGAAAAAAAATGGAGCATAAATCTCACGCATGGACCAAGCTCTTAATAACGCATGTTTCACTCCTAAGTCACAAAGCTGATGAATATTTCTCTTATGTTCCCAAAACACCACTCACTACTGGTGTAAAGAAATCGATGACTTCTGTAAGAGTCTCTAGGGAAGCCAGTGGACATAGTTGATTGCTTCCCTCACAGGTACCAGCAGAGTACGTAATCACTCACCCAGGGGCTGCGCGCTTTCTTCACATCCACTCAGACCCCATGGAGCACAAAAGAATAGAGGGCACAGGGTTCACAGAAGGAAAAAATCCAGTGAAACCATCTCAGCTAACAATGCAGTAAAAACAAATTAGCAAAAGTGCTTCCTTTGAAAGCCTTCAGAATACAGATTGCCTTCACATTTTTGAGACTTTTATTGGCAAATATTTTTTAAAAATATATTTACTGGCTGCAATAGCTAGTCTGCAGTTTATTTCTAGTTGGCTGAAAAGTAATGGTAATATTTGAAGGTGAAAGACAAGAGGTTTAAAGTAGGGCATAAGGGAGAAATGAACTGATCCAGGGAGACATTGTTTCTGTTGAGGCAAATGTTATCATCTTTATAACAGCACCATTCAGCCCTGAACCTCCTTAGAATTAGTTGCTCTTTCTCTGGTAAAACCGGGCTTACTGACATTTTTCATTTTTTCACATTAAACAGGTTCTGTGATAATCAGGCTGGTGGTTTTCACACTACACTGAGCATACACTGCTTTGCCTAGTGAGGACTTGACCTTAAATCATTTTACACTTGGTGCGGATGGAGAAGTGGATGGGGGAAATGTCAGGAGTTTTACTTCTGTGACTGTGATTCTGAATTTTACGTCTCTCTTTTTGTGAGTTATCTCTTCAGACACTACGTATAATGATTCACTGTGCCAGACTGGGTTTGCTACTTTGTAGCTGTAAAACCGATAGGGAATTTTAGCATATGATTCATTAACAGAAATGTTTTAAAATTGAGATTTGTAGGAAATCTGTTGGGACAAAAGAGGAAAATCTGTGCACACACAGAAACAACATAATCTTAAACATTATCTGCCTCCTTGGCCTTTGTGAAATTTACCAATCTGGGTACTTGTTGAAAATGGGAAGTAGATGTCATTTAGATTAGCTGTTTTCACAGTTTGTATTGCATGTATGTTTGCATGGTACTTGCCAATAGAACTAGCTGTTTATCTCTGACAGTTTTGAAGAATCCCTAAAAGACACGCTGAAAAGGTTGGTGGTATTTAGGGTTTTAACCTTTCCTGTGCTAGATATGCAAATATATGGGCTATGTTTTGTTTGTAGTTGTTGTTGTTGGTTTTTTTTTAAACCTGCCAATACTGCTATTTACGTTGTTAAATTCTTTTGCATTACATTGTCCCTCTGTCATAGAGGATGCCTTTTTATGCTGCTACACCCTATTCCCATTTAGACGTATGGTATTTTGAAAAACTCATTTTAGAAGGTTAATGTGTGGACCAAAGTAACACAGACAGGTACTTTTTCCTCATATTTTACCAGACATGGAAATACTTTCAAGAACAGACCCTATTCAGCTGCAAGGACTTTCATTCAAGAAATGAAAAGGTACTCCCTTACCCAAGCCATCTACCACTATTTATTTTCACACCATCTTCACTTGCCACCCACCCCGGCATAGCTGCACCATGTACCTACATGTTTTTTGGGGTTCTTTTTGTTGCTGATAATCCACCCCTCTCTAAATGCTGTCCAGAATCTAAACAATTTGGTTGTTACAGAAATTTGGCTTAACCTGACAAAGATGCAATGTCATGGGTGAGGCAACAGCACACTCACACTGGATATCTTCTGGAGACCACGCTATGAAAGGAAGTCGGCAACAAGGTCTCCACTAATGGAGAAACTTCTGCAGCAGCTTCCCAAAGCATATTGGATATGAGATGTAGCTTCAGAGGGAAACATGCAAATCCTTGAAAGGAGAAAGGTCCTCTGGAAAGCTGGGCAGGTGCAATGCACTGCATGCAGCTACACCACTCTGCGGTGCCCTACAGCAGAATCAGCCAGCGTGAGCAAAGAGTTTGTGACTGTGGAAGATGTTCATCACTAAAAGTGTTACTAGTTGGGCACTGAGTATAAGGAGAACAAAAATAACACAGAACTGTGATGTTTTGATGTAGATTTTAACTATTCTTAACTAAAAAATGCTATATAACAAGAAATGCTCATATTGTTTAGAAGAACAATTTTTTTGGCAACTGAAATGACAACAGTGACTCACCTCCTAGCAAGAGTAGTTTCATCTGTGAAGTCTTGCAGAGACCAGCAAACAAAAGGTACAATCAAGAAACACGGTAAGCTGAAGCCTAAGAATGCAAGAGAAAAAAGTGTTATTTCTGATGACATAAGAAATGTATTCCCTATGAACAATTTGCAAGCACTTTCAATGTGAGAGTTAGGTTATTCAGTCACATGCAAGAACAAATCACCTACCAGCACACATTTTCTGAAATGAACTGTGAAGTTGTCAGGAGGCAAAATCAAATTGCCTTGAATAGTAAAATAAACTGGTACACTATCTGCTAAAATAACTAGATAAACTGATACTGTCCTTTGCCTCCAGGAACAAGTATCAGCCTCAGTGCAAGAATATGATGCTGAGAACATTTGCTCTCATGCAACTGGCCTTGCCTGGCAGACTGGTTCACTGCATAAATGGACTTGTTGCTTAGTCTCAATTCTTTAGATTAAAGTCTGGGAAGATCTTAGTTAATGGTTCATTTTGTCTACTAAATTACACATTAAAATTAAATGTTAAAACATTAAAGATGTTTTTACATTGAACTTCCTGTCTTCTGAAGGATTGGCTTAAGAATATTTTAAAATTTGTTTTCCTACACACAAAAGTCCAAATTAAATGCCAGAACAGCAGACAATTCCACATGTGCCCATGATGAGTTAGGCACCTTCTGAATCGCCGGCTTTGCCTTTATTTCCTCCTTAGAGATTGTTCAGTTCATGTTCCCCTAGTTATCCAGTTGTAGGCAAGATAATCAGTTATGTGATCCACTTTACTTCTAATGTTAATTGATGATATTGTAATTGCTGTATACAAAAATAAGGACAGAAAAGTGTAAAACACCCATAAACCATGCCGGAATAATGACTTTTGTGTGAGTCCACTTCTATACTACAGTATACCAAACTACAGTTCACCAGACTGGATTCTTGCAGTGCAGGAGGTCTGCTCAATGCTGGAGGAGAAAACACTGCTTGGAGCTACCAGCTGCATTACGTGTTTCTTTTTGGTGTTTGATAGAACAGCGAAGAGATCATTGGAACAGACACCACCGACTTAAAGCCTGCTCTGTGATATCTGGAAGTGCTTTTGGGATCTTGGATCAGAGTGCATGTTTCAACCACACACCATGGCATGGCCCAGGTGTTTCCCATCCCTACCACACTCAGGTATGCGGAGAGAAAAGCTGGACACTTGGGCCAGGTAGATGCAGTGGTCAGGCTTTCAGTCTTGAGGACCTGAATTAGGAGTCTGTGTAGTGGCCATCTGCCATGTTGTGACTTCTGCTCCCTTTCCCAGATGTGATAGGGCACACCATGGAGCAGGGAGTTCCTCTCTTCAGGAAAACCTCTGATTTTCTCCTGAATGGCTCCTGCTCAGCTATTTACCAACCTGCCTGAATGCAGTACACACTGGGAGAAAGCACCAGATCAGGAAGCCTGAGTAGTGGTAAATAGAAGGATCACATGAGAAAGTAGAGGTCAGTAGCTCCTGTAACATATCCTTAACAACAGATTCACATAAAAAAAAAAATAATCATAAAATATTTTTCACAAATAACAAGTGAAAAATCTTCTATCCATCTCCATCTTTGTCTGGATTTGTTGCAGGACTAAAAATTTGACACAAACCCTGCAATATGAAAGTATGACCACAGACAGAAGTTGGATGAAAAACAACAGCCAGAATATTCATTAACAATTAAACTCCAAAGATGCGAAAATCCTGCAAGATTTCAAGCTGCACAAAACCTTTGGGCTCTGTCCCACATGTGCAGTGCTGTTTCTTTGTTGATTAGGATGATGGACTTATACATAAATAGAATGACTTGCACGAAACCTGGAGGTTTGTAATAATTATAGTAAAACAGATGTTCTTATTTTTCATGTTGTACAGAATTATATTTATGAGTTTCTTCCCATTCATTTGCTGGACTTAGTCCTTTGAATAAATTGCTTTTTGTTCCTTGCCTTGTGCTTAATTTCCAGCAGTGGGATTTAGCTTTGTGTTTAAACCATTCCTTTTCCCATCTGTCACTTTTTATAATGTTACTTGGTTTAATTTTCAGTTTTTGGCATTCTTAGGCTAGACCAAGGCTGCTATGGGTTATAAATGAGTTAACAAGAGCAAACATATCAAACATATCTGAATTAAATATCTGAACAATGTTAATATCTTTAATTAAATATTGTTTCTGTATCTGCCATGCAGGATTTGTTTCCACTTATTTATCACTAAGAAAAGTTGGTTTATACTATACAAACCTTGGACTCTACGAAGGGAATTAATTCTTTAAACTGAGCACTGAAAATATGTCCTGTCTGTCCTGAAGGAGATATTAGTGTTGATCCTAAGTTCTGCTTGTAACACAGACTTGATTAGATTCCATATTAGTATCATCCCATGCTGATAAATAAAAAAAAAAAAAAAAAAAAAAGTAATTTATTCTTTCTGGCCGATTCAGTTTTTATATAACAATTTCCATTTCACTCATCTATTTACATACTTCCCCATGGAAAGGGAAGATTGAAAGCTTCAGAGACATTTTGTTGGCAGCTTTGTACCTCTTTCTGAAAAGAAAGTACATTCTTGAAGAATGTGACAGTGCAGTTATCTTGAAGTACAGGGGAATCTAGGAATTAGTTTTAATTAATGTTGGCAATTCAACTTTAGTTTTAATTATTTGCAGACAAGTGAAAGCAGAGAATTTTCTTTCTGTAAAACCAACAATTCACTAGAAATATAGCATCCCTTGCTTCTGCTGTTAACTTTTTTTACAGGATGTGGGAAGAACTTGCTAACTTCTGCTTGGATTGTGTGGTTTACCTAAGATATGAATACTGAAGTACAAAATAATGAGATTCTGCTGTATGTAAAACACTGCAGCGGTACAGAAAATAAAGCATGCTTGTGTGGTCTTGGCAGGAAATCTGAGCAGTTCCTTCTGGTTATTTCTCTTTCCAGCTGCTTTTTTTTTTTTTTTTTTTTCCCCCCTCTCAGGTATGGCACTGGAATCAGGATTCACAAGAACTTCTAAAATGTGGTCTCAAAAAAGTGAAATACTGAAATGGAGAAGGTGAATTCTGGTGAGTTGCTGTCAGCACAAGAATTGATTTCTAGCCTATGTTACAACTTTGCAGTGGCATGAATAGTTTTCTCACTTGCAATCACAACCAGCGTGTCTGATCCATGTGGGTGGCACTGAGTAACCACCTCTGCAAAGCTACAGCGTTCAGACACTTGCCACTCTCTCCCAAGTGTAAGTCTGGCAGTCTTAAGACCTTTTGTGTGAAATAAAGTGAAAGTGTGGAGAGACATGACAAGTGAATACCTACAATTTAATTTTAAAGCTAAACAAGGCATATTACCTTTTCAGGGAGATAATAAAACAGTGAAGGCCAGAAATGAAAAGTTAATAATAGTATTATTTGGGGCTTAATCAGACAAGAAAAGTCCAGCAGATGGGTTAGACTGGATAACAACTATTTGAATACCTTGCCTTTTGTAAATTCATGTAGTAATCCTAATTAAGTATACATTTTCACATCTAAATGCCTAATAATTTTAATGTCTCAGTGAATAGAGGACTATCCCTTTTTCTTGGTAACAAAACTTTATGCATCATTTATGCAAGGAAAGAGAATAATTAATTGCATGATTACATAGCTTTTATCACTACATAACTTGTATCAGATATGCTGGAAACTCCTTAATAGAGTGGAACAAAGTCTTCCTTTGAATTATTTTTAGTCAGCCTGATAAGTGTATAATTGCTGGAGATAAACAAAGATGGTACAGATGAAATCTGAAGCACCTTGAAATGAACAGACTCTCAAAGACACTCCCACAACTGCCAGAGACGCGATAGGGGAAAGAAGGTGAAGACAAACAAAAGTCACTTCTCTCCTCTGTTTCCTTGCAAGCTTAGTGTCAAGTGTAGCTCAGCTGAACTTGGGAAATTGATCCAGCAAGTTTGTTTAATTTTTAAATAATGTAAATATCATGGTATTTAGGAATAAAGTGGTATTTATTTGTACAGGGGTATGCAGAAATCCACACGTATTTAGAAATTAAAATAAGATTGCGTCAGTCTGAAATACACGGTAAGTTCCTTGGTGATTCTATCACAAACTTTAAATGGAACAGTACTGACTCTCTGCACTAGTTTATGTCTACAGTGTAGTCCCTTTTTCCTGTGGTGCTCTAACACTGAACGAGAATGTTAAATGTTTGATAAAAACAACAGTGTCAAATTTACCTTGGGTTTTTATTGTTTTGCTTGTGAAGTTCTAAATACTCAAGATCAGCATGGGATTCAAATGTTAATCTACAGCATCTGTAGATGGGAAACTGGTCTATTTGATTTGAAAATTTAGTGCTGTTTTTGAGATTTTCATATCATATGTTTTCCTCTGCTGAGACATAGTGAGCTAATTCATTATTCATTTATCAGCCAGAGAGACTTGAGGATACTTTCCTCGTAAGGATGCTGGAAAAAAAGAAAACCGTACTTTCTACAATTAGAGTTACCAGTTGTACTTGCTAATGAAAATTGGACTTTGATGTTCTTAATCAGAAAATAGAATCATAGAATCGTCTAGGTTGGAAGGGACCTTAAAGATCATCTAGTCCAACCATCAACCTAACTCTGACAAAAAAATAAAAGCAATAAAAAATTCACTAATCCATATTCCTGAGGAACATGTCAACCCGTCTTTTGAACACCTCCAGGGATGGTGCCTCAACCACTTCCCTGGGCAGCCTATTCCAATGCTGGATAACCCTTTCCGTGAATAAATTTTTCCTCATATCCAATCCAAACCTCCCCTGGCACAACTTGAGGCCATTTCTCCTTGTCCTATCTCCTGTGACTTGGGAGACGAGAACAACCGCCCCGCTTCTCTACGCCCCCCCCAATACTTTGAATGGCTTAAAAAAAAGCGTGAAGCAGTCATGTTTTAATTTTATATAGAAAGTGAAGACATTCCCAAGTCACTCTTAATCTGTTCTTTTTCTTGCACGTGAATAAAATCACCAAACAAAACTGTTTATCGTTTGCTCCCAACC